TTGAAGAAGCTTCTTTCAAAGTGAAGAAACTTGGATGCTGGTAAATCCAGATCCTCCGAACACTACAACAAACAGCACAACAACAAATATCACTTTATGGTCACAAAGTCGAAACAGCTGCCCATGCACTTTAGTCCTAAAGTGCACAGTCCTAAACCGATGTGGAGGTCTTTTGCAGTGCAGGGTAGACTTGATTCATGTGCTGCACCAGAAAGGTACGCGTCTGTGTATTTATTGGCCCAGATGCTAATCTCTCATGTACTACTTCTAACTTCATCAGAAAAAAATCCTCCCCAGGAATAGTTCAGCATAATAAAATAGTAGAGGACTGTGTGCAATGCTATTTTATAATGTAATAACATGTCTTAGGTATCTATTTTGTTAGGTGAAAACAGCTCTGAAATATTTAATAAAAGGACAATGTTTGAGTCTTAATGAAATGCAACTCAAAGAACAAGAAAACTTTAAGATCTTGTGCTCATATCAAATTTCCCCCTACATCAAATATTCATGGGTGCCTTATTAGAATAGTTCTGGGTAATAATTTAATTTAGTTTTAGTCTGAATTATACAGATGAACATTCAGTGTTTCTTATCACAAATAAGGTACAGAATACCTAAAGGTGAGAAAATACTTGCTGATCTTATGTCGAAAAAAAAACGTACTAATCTAAAAGTTGCCACAAACATCCTAGGGCAGACATGAAAGTGCATATCATCCATAAAAAGCATATTTACTCTCAAAGACTGCTCAAGTAGCATAACTAGAGTAGTTGTAAACTCAGCTTTTTTTTCTTTCTTTTTTTTTTTTTACAGTGCAATGTCATGCATTTCAGGTGGTGGAGAGAGAACTAAATTTGGCTTTAGGCAACAAACAAGTTTGATAAATTCATCCTCTGCTTCAATTTTGCAGTGATGGATTATCCCTAAAAGGTGTGTCTGTGAGTTCGTTTTTGAAGCAATTAATGAAGAGACTGGAGTCTGTTTTTCCAATATGAATGCAGCATAATATCTATGCTATCTTCGAAGGGCCTAGACAGAGCTAGTGATTAGCTCTGGAAGTGGCTGGAAAATGTGAAGAAATGAGTGTGGAGGTAGCGGATAGTAAAGACATTTCCTTATGTAAGAAAGAGATCTCCATTAGTTTAATGAGGATAGCAAAAGTGCATGACACCATGGAAACAAGCATTGTCTTATTTAGACAGTGCAAGAGAATGGGTAAAAGCTCAGCATGACAGCAACAATCCACTCATGAGTGGAATATTCCTGTGCCACAGATTCTGTTTCTGTTTCTTGCCCAGCACCAATGCTAATTTCCATGAAAACAAAGTTCCATGGTAGTTACAGTATCTTTTTAGATATAAGACCATTTGCTGTGAGGCTGTTTATCTGATTGGAATATTCCTCTTTCACATCTCTGTATCAACCACTAACTGATAACAACAAAGAGACATCAGCAGGTTATTTTAGCAGTAATGACTTAATCTGTATGTGAGATTGCAGCCGTTCCTGTTGCGTCACAGGGAAATTATGTTTCTTTCAATATGTCTGATCATGATTAACTCTCTCCAAAAACTGTAAACTTTGATGTTGTACCAAAGTACTATTCTGTGGCCTGAAAGACTGACTTTGTGGCCAGATAAGGAGTTTGTTTGAACTTGAAGTCTGAGTAAACATCATATCAAGGCACTGCAGCCCCAAAATGTTCTTTCAACCACAGAAAGCCATGCCGGATACTTGAGCGCCCACTGTTTTCATCTTCATCATCTCTGTTTATCGCTCTGACAGCACAAATTAGGGGATGGGACAAACATTTGTTTTGTTAGGCTATGGAACACAGTGGTAATGTAGAGCTGACACAGACGATTTGTTCAAAGGGCACAGGAAGAAATTACGTTCCAAAATTCCAAAACAGAAACTGAAAGGTCATATTTGCCATTAAAGTGATATTTCATTGTTGCTCGTCAAAACGCTCCCCTGAATTTAAGTTGCAGTTGTCCTCCTGCAGTCACTATACATTAGCGCAGAGCTTCCACTGACGGTGCACTATCCATTCCTTTACTCCAACCGATGCAAAAATATGAATACGCTCACTGAAAAAAAAAAACCTGGCCAAGTCGGTAACTGCCCCTTAAGCCTCAAATCTCCAGGGGCCCCAGAAATCTAATGTGGCAATTTAGTTGTGGTAATTATAATTCTGTTTGGAAATACAGGAATGTATACAACTAAAGCAGAGCATCAGCTATAGGCTGGTCCTTCTTTAAAGGACTAGTGTGTAGGATTTAGTGCCATCTAGCGGTGAGTTTCAGATTGCAACCAACTGAATTCCGCTCGCCTTCCGAACGCTATGGTGGCTGCCTTCAATGGTATTCGTCAGCATTCGAGCGGTATTCAGTTAGTTGCAATCTTTGAAAAGCTGCTGGAACTGAAATAGTTTTATGTTTTTCAGCCTGCACAGGATTAGACTGTTGCAATGATATAGCCTGTGTAACACTCGTATTAAAGTTTCCACGTTTTAACACTTTTTAAAGTAATAAAATGGAGAGACAGTACGGTGACAATAACTGTACTGGTTTCCGATGGGGTACAGCAACACCACTCGGACAAACCACATGCAGAACTGCAGAACAACACAATACAAGAACTGGTAATAATAATAACAATTAATATGTGTAAAGTTTATATATGATTATGGCTACATTTTCTAATGATGATTACAGATGGCGGCAGGCACACCCATAGAAATGGCTGGGTCCCTAAAAAGGTCCAGTGAACGGGCCCTCCCCAAATCTTTGCTAATCTTATCAATGCATGCTCTCTCTCTCTCTCTCTCTCTCTCTCTGCTGGCCTCCATCGATCCCCTGAGCAGCTGGGCCCCAGAAAGCCTTGTGGGAAGATTTATATATATTTTATTTTCAAATTTTTTTTTTTTAATTTCATCTCCCTATATACATAACTGAATCTCTATCAAATACCCAACAATATGCATTAACTGTTACACTGTGTGTTTTTGTTGCAACTTATACTAGTGTGTGTTGTTGTCTAGGCAGGAGATCATGTCCACAGTTTTCCATTATGGTTCACAACTGAGAAACTCTAGAAAGAGTTTCTATAAAAGTGATATTAGAACTCATCCTAGGAGCACAACAAAGAAAATGTTTCAATATCAATAGGGGGCGCTCACATTCCAGAAATGTGCATCTCTACTAATAGGCAAAATACAGCTGCACAATGGCACCATCAAGTGCATTTTAAAATCCTGTGAGGACAGAAAACATGTTGATTAGATGCTTTTGCATAACCATCTATGAAATAAACAAGCAATACAAGATGAGAGGAAGAGTCAAGTGCCTCTCCTCTTATATATAATGTACATAGAGTTTACACAGCACCATTGACATCCATACTTCTTTATAGATATAGAGTGGTAAATGTTTTTTGAGTGTGTAGCTAAAATGAACATTACTGCTGAACCTATAGCTCATATGCACTATAACAGCACTAAGAAAGAAAACGCTCTGCTTTACTCTCCCATCTGAATCTGCTGCATTGATTAATGATCCTCACTGTTGTGACTAATACAGTTTATTCTCTCATTAAGCTACAACAAACTTTGGTACTCACAGGGAACTGTAACAGTCTCCATTATGGATTGGGTCATTACTGCTAAAATAAACTGCCCCTGTTTTGCCAGCTTCCACTCATATAGGTCCAGCCAAATAAGCTGTGCTCTTGGTTATGGATGACAGAGCTACACACTCTCCTGCTGCTCCTGTGGCTGCTTACATGATTTCCTCCTTTTAGTGAAAACACAAGGGAAAACATACCTTAATAAGCAAATAACTGAATCCATGTGGATTAAACAGTGAAACAATATAAAACCCTTTGAAAACAATTATGGAGAAAAGACTCTTGGAAAAAGGCAAAGAACTTTTACGGTAAAGTTTAAAACACTTTTGTGTTTATATTTGTCAATTACTGTGAACACTGATTAAAAAGAATGTCAGACTGTCAAATGGCTAATTTGTCATTACCAGTAAGACAAATTGCAAGGCTCCTTTTTTGCCACACTGCAAGCAATTACAGTAGTACATTAGATAACAATGTGTATGTAAATACAGTACAAAGCTGATTATTTTATGAAATCAGCCCAACCAAAATAAATACTTCAGTACTTTATTACTATTATTACTTGTGTACACCATCTTGTGGAGGCCTTAAAAACTACAAGTAAAATAGGTCTATAACAAACGGAGTGATGTATAAACCTGGACAAAGTTAGGATGATGTTCACTAAAATAATCAGTTCATGTAAGGCAGAATGAAACACACTTTCACAAACGACAAGGAAAACTGTACAAAAGTTCCAAGCTTTTCCCACAACAGCACCAATATAAGGGGTTCAGATACAATGTAGCAAATACTCATTTGCAAACTGTAAACCTAGTATGACGAAATCCCTCCTTTTCACCTTTGGACGAGGATTTCTTCCAGGTGGTAGACTAGATAAAACAAGTTAGGCCTATGTGGCCACATGGTGCTGACAAATTGGAGGTTTATGATTTGAGCCAGCATAAATAATGAACAGTGGCCAACAGCTGTCCATACAAACTGAGGCCAACTGACTTACTCATTACCCATCTCTGCACATCCAAAACATCAACAGTCCCTGTTGCTGGTTTGGTAAATATTGGAAACACAGAGGGTGAGCTGGAGGAAGGAATGACAAGAGTCCAAGAGAATGACACTTGGTCACTGCAAGTGGATGGTCAAGTCCTAGATCTATAAACGTATCTATGGAGTCTTGAATACAAACATTATTTATTAATATATTATTATTTTACTTTACTTTCTGGACCATTTTTTTTTTTTTATTAACCACAACTATGCATCACTGCTTACCTGTAAACATTAGTCTATTTCACACATTTTCCAACTGTTGGTCCTTGTTTATCATCAATGGCCAAACTCTTGATGTGGGCAGCTCTGGACTGACGTACCTGTCTCAACTTTGGAGTGGTCGGTCCTCTCTGTCACCTTCTCCTGGCTGATGAGGTAATCAACAATCCGCACGCCGATTGGTGACTCGGTGTGGTTCCACTCCATGATGACCAATGAGCTGCTGGGCTCGTAGGTGTAAGACAGCTTCAGCCTGGCAACAGAGTGAAAAAGATGCAAAACCAGGTCACTGAGTGAAAGATGTTGTCAGCAAACTGGTCTCATTACTGTAATTTACAGCTAACATTACCCCTCGTGTTGTGCAAAACTGCAACCTAATGAAAACATATTCTGCAATGTCACAAACACTTCTGTCAACAGAAAATATGGCCATTTATCCCCTGATGTCTGACTTATTCTAGAGTGGCCATCTGCAGCTATGTGACATTAAGACCCATGTTTTCAATACAGCTGCTCATTTCACTGATTAGCACACACAAACCGAATCTTTTGTATCTTTTTGTGATAGTTTTGAATGCCTTTGTAGTTGTTTTGCGTCTGTGTGGTAATTTTGTGTTGCTTTGTAGTTTTGTGTGTCTTTGTAGTTGTTTAGCATCTCTCTGTAGTTGTTTCATGCATCTTTGTGGTGGTTTTGCATCTCTTTGCGTTCATTGTATGTCCTTTAACTGAGCTCTTGAAAAATGAAAACTCCAATTTCAATCTGTGAAACACAATTTTGAATTTTGCATCCAATATTCAGTTTGAACATTTCAGTTCATGTTTGTGGCCCATTAAGTAATCTTTGGTTGAAAATTCATGCATCCTGATGGCACATTACTTGAGACCACTGCAGCAGGACACTGAGTTCTGCCAGCAAAATGATGGATGGTGATGGCATTTACCACAACCCATTTTATAATGATGTGTTTGGAGAAAAGTAATATTATTCTAAGCTACTAACATAGGTTGGGGAAGTGGGGCGCAGGTGGGCAGTCCGTCTGTGCCAAAAGCACTGGAATCACACCGACACCAGTCATCGATAACATCACCTTTCCCCGAACACCACAGCATGCTCATCATCGCCTCCTGAAGAGCCTACAGAGAGGGGGGGGGACACACACACAAAAACAAAAACTCAAAGCGCATGTCATATTGGAACATGCAATACAACATGTCAAAATGGCTGCTGTGAAAAAGGTCAATTGTCTTATTAGTGTAGTGTAATGTAGCTTACTATAAGATAAAATAATATATGATAAGTGTTTGTGTGTATTAACTATACTAATTATATATACACTATACCATCATATTTTCATACTCTCCTTCAGGGTGTGATTAATGGCACCTCTGTGATTGTTTTGGACTTGATATCTCCGAGCTCCGTGTTATATGTTGTAAATAATCTGATGTGTATGTAATTTATTATTTATTGGACCGACCTCAGATTCACATGTAAGCTAACTCTGGTGAAGTCTATATAATGACCTTCTCTATGACATGTTAAGTATTTTCTTTTTGAGAGCATTTATTCTGTGTTGGCCCCTTTTCCCCTTGAAATTGTTCCTTTACTGTTTTTGTAGTGCGTATTCAAAACAAATACTTTCATTCTTTAACAAAAAACTAGTAAATATTCCTAAAATCTGAGCTCAATCAATATGAAATCTGCCTTAAATTGCAGTACAAAATCTTGATGAGTGTTCCTGTATTGCTTTTGCATTAGATTGTTGACTTTATAGTTATAGTTAGTTATAGTTACAAATAGGGATCCTAAATAAAATACATAAATATACCTATATACACATCAATTCATCAGATACACACAGATACACAGATACACACCCCTAGTAAACACATGTAATCGAGATGAAGCCAAAAAGCTAATTTATTCAAAATGTAGCCTGTGCATGGTGTCTCGCTGCACAGTCAAGCACCAGCAACCTCCAAACAGCTTTTGTCAATAACAGCAGCTGTATCCATCTGCCTGAGCTTAAGGATGAAAGCCTGACACCCCGGGGTTGGTGGACAGCACCGTATCGACTTTTCTTCCTGCTGGAAGTGCAGAAGCGCTATCGACGTACAGTATCGACAGAGTCAAATAAGTCACAGCACAGTACGGCAGATTATGGCACAGCATCCTGCCAGCACAGTAAGGCACCATACTCCAAGAGGAAAAGACTTCACTACTGTTTCTGTAACCTGTTTCATAATGAGGCCGTGAGGTTGGATCACCCACATACAGTCACAAACACATGGTGAGTTTCATTGCAGGATGCCAGTTAATAGACTGAGTAAGGTTTAATGATCCCACCCCCACACTAATGCCTGGATTTTTTATTAGCTGCTGTCCTCTCATGTTAAAGTAGCTTCAATGAGAAAAAATGGTGGAAATGTTTACATTACCAGATCAAAGTAAAACTACTTTGATTTTGGGATGATAAGGACCTTTAATCATTCCCATAAAAGGTAAGTGAGATAATCCAGTTCAGGAGGATGAGAGAAGATGCAGCAACAAATTTCAAGGGTGTCACAGAAAGTGATATAATGTACCCTGTAAGAAATTGGTGTTTTCAGACATTAGACAGGCACAGGTAGACAAGGGTAAACACTGTACACACCTGGTAGGTCTCATTGTTGGACACCAACTCATAGATGGGTGCGGCCTTGGTGATCTGGAGCAGGACAGGCTCGGATTGCTGCCGCCCTTGCGATGCCCTCGGGCTCATGTGGCAGAGGTGACAGGAGCGCGGGCACTGGCCTTGGCTGGTGCAGTCCATGCGGACTCCGGCTGCCATGCGCTTTGCTCCTGTGTCCAGCAGGCTGGCGATGTATGCAGGGTAGGTCAACGTCCTCGGCTCCTTGTCGCGCTCCTCTGACTCCTCCGAAGGTGAGTTACCTGATAGGACAGAAAGGGGAAAAAGGTTGGTTATCTCTTTTTAGGAAACAAAATATAAATAAGCAAATATCACAAAAGTCAACTATGAAAATACATGAATTATATGATTGTTATATATAAACTAGATGGATGGTGAGGTCACCTGATCCTAATGAGATAAGGTATTTAGGAATGAAAAAAAAACTGAACTGAGATTTTTCTTTTGCCTTTGTAGCAATATGGCAAAACTACAAAGCATTAAATTCCCAAATCCCCCTTCTGGAGACTTTTTAGCTTTTCTGCATGACAGGCAGAACACATGAGCATGAGTGTAATATTTGGGCCATGGCTACAGCTACAGACCTCAGAGTTCCCTCGAGCAAAGCAGGTGAATTGGGAGACCTATACAGAACAATGGAATGTTTACAGTGTACACTGTAGGCTGTTATTGACAATTATTTTGTTTTCCCGCTCAGGTTATGAAACCTGATTTGAAACCTCAAAAACACTAACTACAGAGGAAGATACTTTCACAACTTATTACTGCTTATAATAAGCACAACATTTTCTGCATTTTTTTAAATGTTAAGGCCCATTTCAGTCTTTCAGTTGCTAGATTCCTCTGCTAGTTATGCTAGAATTCTAGCCAAGCAAAATTAGTTTACGCCATTGGCAGATTATTTTGCTACATACAAGCTTGTTTCTAGAAGGGCTGTTTTTGCAGTGTAAAATTCCTCTTTTTGCGCAATAGAATGGGACAGAGCTGACAGACGAATGGGGCCCAAAATAAATACATTATTATCCCTCGTCTCAAACATCAATGTGAAACAGCTGCCAGCCCTCTGACCTGAGAACAGACAGATCTACAGTACATGTGTAACATCAGAGGTTAGACACGTAAGCTGTGACAATCGTATGTAGGTCTCCTAAAGCAAATAACTTTTATTTTAAGCATTCATAAAGAATGCTGACAAAAGAAAACAGTTTCTATAACTGCTGTCAAACCAAAGGTCAGAAATCATCCTGATGGAGGTGGACGTGCCAATGAGACAACTTTACTTTCATCAAGCAGGAAAAGATATTGCTCCATTAACCATTACATGTCCAGAAGACAATCACTAAGGTTATTACGATGGCCATGTAGACAAAGCTCTAATTGGACATTGCTTGTGAACGGTTGGCGTTTATTTTTTAGTTAGAGTTCTGTACGCACCAGGTTCCTGAAAAGTTGACTTTTGCAAAAGTGTGTTGAGTTAACTTTTGTATTATGTATGTGAATATGTGGATAAAATATTCCTACCATAAAACGTTATTTTGCCTCAGACAGAGTGGGACGTTCACTTGCGAGCAGAGCTAGTGAGCAGCGAGAGAGGGATACATGCCTAATGCAGAACTTTGACACTATTCTTCTTGTTTAAAAAGGGGGAATTTGTGAGATGACCATTTTGAGAGACTGCTAGGCTGCTAGCAAACGCAAGCAATTTAAAAAGCTCAAGCATCAATTAGGGAATAGGCTTGTAGTGCGAGCTGCCTTAGATGGAATACAACTCAGGTTTATGAACCATGGGATGATGGGAAAACAGCCGAGGGACCACTTGTGCACAAGAATGAAGGCAAAGAGAAGGCCATTTCTTTTGAATGTGTAATGTGAATTATTGTGTGCATTAATGTTTACTTTTTGTTTCACAACTCTGATAAAGTAATGTTTTGTTGCGCTTTCATTTCCTTTTTATTGAATGTAACAGATGTATGACTGTATTTGAACTACTTCCTTAAATGAATATAAAATAAATATACACATAGTCACACGTAATACCTCCAAACAAACTCTCTTTCTCATACACCCACATTCAAACCCACTGAGCACTTGCTGCACATCATTTCTCGCACTTAAGAATTTAGGAGGACAAACAACATATCTGTGTTTGACTTGATGACTGATAACAATGAGCAGTCAAATGCAAAAGCTAGAGAGCGAGCACCAGACTGTCTCTGTGGATAATGAGTGATGTGATACACATTTGTGTATGTGTGTGTGTGTGTGTGTGTGTGTGTGTCTGAAAGTAGGTGACCGTCATTAAAAAGAAATTAAGAAAGTGCTACAATAACAATATTCAGTGTTTGCACTGGTTTGTTCGTAATTAACAGCCTATTGATAACACCTCATCTGCCACACACCTGTGAAACACACACACACACACACACACACACTTCACACCCACCGAGTCATTAAGTTTCACATGATTTCCAAGTAATCTCATCAATGACAAGCTGCAGTCAATTTAATTCAGCTCAATAAAGGATAATAAAAAGTCAAGAAAATACAGTATGAATCAGTATTTTGTTTGTTTTTTGTTGTCAGTGTTGGGGACATCACTTTTGAAATGTAATAGGTTACAGATTAATAGTTAACCTGTTGTAATGTAAGTAATGTAATTTAATTAAATTTCTTTTTCTCAGTAACTGTACCCGATAACAATTACATTTATTTTATATTTTTTATTACGCGTAACTAGTACTCTGTTATGACCTTTCAAAAGGTGAATTTTAAACACAAGGGGGTGGTTTCACAAAGATGTTTCAGACTGGTAAATAGTGTTCGACCAATATTCATTTTGCTCTTAGATCAGTTTAATCCGAGTTAGACAGTTGATACACATTTCAAGCTTAAGAAGTTATCCACCCCGCCACAATGTTAACTCAGTTTCAGTGAAGTTTTTATCAGTGGCACCAGCTGACCAGTGACAGAAAAAAATATAATAATAATAATAATAATTAACTATTAATTTATTTATACAGCACTTTTCAAAACAAAGTTACAAAATACTGGAACCAGGATTAAAGATATTTAAGGAGGCAATAAGGCAAAAATAAATTCAGTAAAAATCTCATGGACGTGAGATAGAATTAAAAGTACTAACCAGTACTAATTTAACGACGTCCTAGCACTGTCAAATACTACTCCAAGGTATCTGGCTGAAATTTGACGACAAGGATCCAAGATTGTTTTGTAGAAGAAGAATTTACCCAAAACTAGAAAGCAGATGAATGCAGAAATCCATCTAAAATATGACTAGTAGTTGGATCTAAACCAGTATCTTTGTGAAACTGGCCCATGGTTACTAGGGTATTTCAAACAGAGTCAGGAAGTAGTAAGAAAATATGTAGTATATAAAACCTAAACCATCAAAATACAAAATGAAAGTAAAAGCACCTCAAGCCACTATATACAGAACTTTTATTGTGATTTTAATATCTTGTAATGTATTGCTTGTCATGGCATACGTGAAAATGAGAAAATGCAAGCTTTTAGCCCTTTCATCTTAAAGAGGTGAGATCTGAATATTAATTTGAAAAAGTGGTTCGCCAACCCTAACAAAAAAGAAATGGAGACCCTGAGCCAAGCACACATTGGTGCACTGGAACCACCAAAAGATATGAAGGAAATAACCACAACAGAAATGAAGCCAAGAAAAACATGACTACTCCTGGTACCATGTTCTTGAAACACACAGAAGAGACTGTAGTGCACCTGGGCCCTTTATATAAACTGACAATCAGACCAGACCGAGTACAAGTCAAAGGAAAGGATAACAAAATTCAAATAAACGTCAGATAGGAGCAGGGGGGCACATAACAACTCACAAATACCTAATATGCTAAACTAAGAGAAATGACACCCAACCTGGGAAATGTAATCGTCAGGTGTACTGAATCAAAGTCTCCTTTGATAACCCAGCTGCCTCCAGATCCAGTAATGAATTGTAAACCAACTAAATAGCTTAATTTGTGTGTGTATACATCCCACAAAATCAGAACATTCCAGGTCTAATAATATTGTTGATTTGTACTTCCCTTGCTAGTTGTGTCTTTTTGTATGCGTGTTCGTGTTGTTCATGTCCTTGACAATGTTGGCATGCAGCTCTTGGGTCTCCTGATTGGGTCACTGAGTCAAATCGACAGATAAGCCCTTATCAATCGGAGGAATGTGTAGGTAAATGAGGTCTGCTCCAGGGGCGAGTTACATCAGGGGAGAACAAAATCAAACCGTTCACACGTGTTGACCCCTGAGCGGCATTGGTGTGTGTGCGTGAGCGTAATTAAAATCTCCAAGTAGAGGCACTCTGCAGGCCATAACTCTGCCTGACTAATCAAATGCGATAAAGATGAGGATTAGGCTTTTGTTTGTAGTGTGTAAGAGGGTTGGCCGAAGAAAAATCAACGAGAAATAGAAAACACACCTCAGAGTTTCAAGACGACTATCCAGAACCAAGTTGTGAGATGCAAAATATTTGCATTCACAGACTTCTTCTTCAGCATCTGTATGTCGCCAAGAATGTCAATGTCCTTGCTCTCCTGACCAGCCAAACTTTAATCTATCCTTGTCAAACTGGCTCACTTCCCACTAATCAGCTCTCATCACTCGATCTTCACTTGCCATGTCCTGGCAGATGGAAATTAAATGTGGCAGTTATATTAGGACAGCTGGGTGCCTTTTAGGGCAAAGAAGATTGGCAATGATTAGTTCAGTTTAGTCTTGGTTTAGTTCAGCAGCGTTCAGTGTCAGCTGGGACCACGGGGGATATTGAAATGGATGAGCAGCCCCGGCCTGAAGACACCTGATGGCCAAACATACACAGCACATTATGGCACTAAACCCTCTCCAAATAACGTCAACTTTACAATTTACTAGCCACTGCTGGTATTGTCATCTCATAAGGGGGCCACATATCTTATATCACCACTTTACCATAAAACCCAAAACCTGCTCTCTTCTTATCAACCCTTTGCACACAAACAAACTACAAGTTCTGAAATAGAATTGTGCTTTTATTATATTATATTTTTGAAATCATGCTGCAGGCTGGAGGGAGGGGGATGGAGGGCTGGAAATGGCCCCCGGGCTGGCAGTTTGAGGCCCTTGGCATAGATACAGTATATTACCATAAAACTTCATTTATTTGGAACAGGAGTCTATGTGACAGGCATAAAATTAGCTGAACGGTTATAGTGTGGAGAAT